CCGACAAAAACCTATTCATTGATAATGGTGTATTCAAAGCAATGAAGAGAAGTCTACTGCAATGCTGTTAGGTAAGAAAAATATTATACAAGCAATACAAGGCAGATATGCAAGAATAGATTTCTACTTATGTGAAATTCTAGAAAATATATGTTAAATCTCTGTTGATAGACCAGATCATTGCTTTCATAGTGTTTGGTTTGTGAAGCAGATTGACTAGAGTAATCATGAACTAAGTTATTCCTTAAATATATATATGCATTTGAAACCATAATAACATAATATTTAAGGTTTGTATATTGTGTTATATATATATATATATATATAAATAAGCTTTTAACATAAAGGTGAAAAATGTTCTTCAAACAAATACGAAGTATAATTAATCATATGCATGGTGGAATATTTAGGAGAGTATATCAATCTACTGTATATCTCATTAAGCATAAATATTAACAGAGATTAGTAAATGATATTTTATATGATAAAACATGGCATTTAAAAGAAGGGCAGAATGTTGCTTATTTTTATATTTGCATTGTAAATGGCTTCTAATGTAAATGTTTCCTGCTTTGAAATAAATGAGAGGCATTGAAAAAGCTTTGTCTGAATGTTTGTCATATAAAAAGAAAAATGGACACATAATGACTCTCATCTAAATTAATTGTTGAAAAGTAATAGGGAGAGGCACAGTATTTGAAATATTCCACAAGAAATTTGATCTTAGTTTTCTATGCCTGCATTTCTGTGTTCCAAGTGTAGCTTCATTTTTGAATTCTAACTCCAGAGAGTATGATTGCTTCTGTTTCAATTCTTTGAATGGCCTACATCACATGTTCACAGTGATTGTGAATATTTATCATCAAATTGACTGAATTAAGAACTACCAAGAAATTAATTACTAAAGCACATTTGTGGGTGTGTCTGTTAAGACCCTTTCCAGAGACAATTAAAGCAAGAGGGCATTAACCTAATCCATGGATTCACTCCTTGAAGGATTCATAATAGCACGACATTATTGAGAGGTGGTAAAAGTTAGGAGATAGGACCTAGTTGGAGGAAGCCAAAACTGGATGCAGGCTCTTATGCTTTCTTCCTGTTCATCTCTGTTATTTGTCCATCGTGAGGCAGCTCCCTGCTCTTTCTCCTTTTTTTATTTCCACGGATATTAATACTAATTTAGATTATTTTGACTATTTATTGTAATTTTTCCACTATATATTTTTGGGGGAACAGAAATATTAGGGTTTGAATTTAGAATCTAATAAATATATTAGTTTTTATCACTGGAATCATGACCTTAGAAAAACTTTGAGTGAGTGATTGCTGGCTTGTTTGATGGATTTTATACAGACTCTCCACTTTTGCCAGGAGCCAGCCTCAGACTATGGCTTTTCTACACATGTCTCACCAGAACTGGAAAACACAGGCACATGTCACTACCCCTGGCTTGTTGATAAATATTGTATCTTCTTAACTTTTTTGGGGGGGCGTGCCTTTTCTCAAACTTCAGCCCTCCCAATTATGACTACTAAGTAGCTGGGATTACAGGTAGGTACCATCACATCTGGTTGGAACTTTTTTTTCTTAATTTTGATTGAAAGAATGTCATTGCATATATTGAAATTATTAAGACAGCATGAGAACACGCTTAGTGCTCTGGTTTTATCTAATGAGGATTTTATTACCCTTAGGAAAAATAGTCAAAGCTAATATTGAACTGACTAGAAGGATCTTTTCATGCTGGTTTTGTCTATTTTTTCTTTTCTCTTATTGCTATATCATTTATTGAGCATCATGAATGAAAATCTGAGATGATTAATACGAGACAGCATGTCAGTCAGATTTCAACTTTGAGAAACTGCAGTGAGCTTTCTATGTGCCATCATATTGAGCCTGGCACTTGAAAATGACAAATATCTCAAGGGAAAAAATGATACTGTTTCTTGGACTTAAATCTTGTCATTTACTTCTTTTCTCTGGGCTCTTATTTCCTGGGAGAACATGGTGCTTTTATCAGTCTGCAGCAACCTAAAATTGATTTTAAAAACATTGTATTCACTGGTTTGATGCTTGTGACATTAGCTCAGGATCTTCAGAAAATAAACTGATCAATTTTGATGTGTTTGCTGCAATCCTAATAAATGTAAGCCCTCTTAGAAAGCTTTATTCACTGACTCCAGAACATAGTAAATCATTTTCAAATATATTCTTACTTTTTACTGTAAATATATTGTATCATGCACATCTATTAACTCAGGAAAATATTTTCTCTTGTTATAATTATTCTTGCTGCATTGAAATAAGAAAGTACATGTAAAGTTGACATGTTAATGTTCTTCCTTTTAATTTATCTTAAAATCAAATTACATGAAATTTATGAAATTTAATAAATTTGATCTTTGAATTTAAGCAGCATTCCCAAATAGGTTTCTGCTGTATTTCTCGAATTTGAATCTGAAAGGAAAAAAAAATCCACCTCTGAAATGCTTATTTTTTACCTAGAATAAGAATATTGGAAAGGAAGCTTCTTTATAGTTTGATATAGAAAAAAAACAAAATAAAATAAAGGCTGAATTGCCACGGTCTGTTTGGGAAGCATTCTTAGAGGTTAATTACAACAGTGAGATTGCCAGTCATATAAATACAGAAATATCTCAGTTGATCAAGAATGAGAGTGAGCATATTCTTACGTACTTGAATTCTGAGTGCACTGAATTTATAATTTAGTTCACTAAACTGGTGAGTTATGATCTATTGTCATTGTACTCATGAAAAAAAACAACAGGTGCATTTTTTAGTTAGTATACTGAAACTCATAAACCCCTGCGTGAAGACTGAGTACTGAATACGAAAACAGGACCTACATTTTCTCAAACCACACAGTCTGTACCAAACTTGTGTTCCCAAGCAAGAATATGTTAAACAGAGGCAGAATTTCTCTATGCATTAGTATATGTCATTTCTTATTTTCAAATAGCTGTAGAAGGGCTTTACAATTTAACCTTAACCATTTATATCTACAATGAATATTATGAGCCTCTTCCATCATTCACCATTCTACCTATCTCTACCTCTAGTAGTGTCACAGTTTTCTAGTCACATTTTCATTTATGTACATTGTGTCTTATCACTGTATTTCTCTATCATTCCTCTCTCAATTCATCCACTCCCCCCATGATCAGAGGCCACTTTAACACCATGCAGAGTTTTAAATGAAAAAAAAAAAATAGACCATTTGTTTTCCCCTTCAGCCTTACTCTGCACTTATACTTCAGTTTTTGTTTATCAGGAAAAATCCAATCAGGGATTTTAGAGTTTATAGGTATTTATACGATTCTTTCATTTTATAAGACATTTCAAGTGGTTTTCTTGTAAGCTTATCATCTCAAGTTTATGTTCCAATTCAAGCAGCAAAGTTCTTCAATAAAAAACAAAAGATCAAAAGAAGACTGTCCAGGCTGCAGTTTCAACTGAAAACTAGAATTCAAAATATCCTTCAAAACAATCTTAAATATCTCAAAAAATTACTAGGATGGTGTCAGAACAGTACATTATCTAAGGACTAACTTAAGATATATTATTTTAATGGACAATCATGAATGTATATTCTAAGAAATATACTGTTTTGTTGTATTCTATATAATCTGTATATCACTGCATAAACTTGTGAATATTTTATGTTGTGTTGTTTCTATTTCTGTATATATAGGTAATGGTTAAGTGTGTACATATATGCATGTATATATTCAAGCATCATTCTTTTATTGTGAAAACATTAAATTCCTTTATTTTATCTTTATTGAAATATACAGTATATTCTCTTTATAATTACTATAATGTAAAATCACCTACTGGAATTTTTTACTCCTATCTCATTGTAACTTACTACCCTTTAAATAAACTTTCTCAATCTTTCCTTCTAAGCTCTTCAATCACTAATAACCCTTATTTGTTCCACTTTCAACTACTATTTCAACTTCCTTCTCTCTCTCTTTCTGTGTGTGTGTGTGTGTGTGTGTGTGTGTATGTGTGTATGTATGTATGTGTGTGTGTCTGTGCCAATCCTGAGGCTTCAACCTAGGGTCTGGATCCTGTCCCTGAGTTTATTTTTGCCCAAGGCTGGCTCTTTGTCACTTTTGCTACAGCTTAACTTCTGACATCATTTGGTTTATTGGAGAGAACAGTCTCAAAGACTTTCCAGCCTGCACTGGCTTCAAATTGTGATTCCCAGATCTCAGATTACATGCATGAGCCACTGGCCCAGCTCATTTCAAATTTTTGCACTCCACATTTTAGAAAGATCATAGATTACTTGTTCGCTGTGCCTGGATTATTTCTTTTTATATAGTCTTGTAAGCATCAGAGATGTCTTTGAACAGATTGCATAGCCTCTGAGTAGTTTAGGAACAAAGATACAGAACCGACAAATGGATTCCAACAAATTGTAAAGTTTCTGCTTCGAGGTATCAGTGGCTCACACTTGTGATCCTAGCTACTCAGGATGCTGAGATCGGAGGAGTGAGATTTGAAGCCAGCCCAGGCAGAAAAGTGCATGAAACTCTTATTGCCCGCTCCTCTTCCCCCGTCCCCCCTCCCGGTCACAAAAAAGGAAGTAAAATTGTGGTTCAAGTGATAGAGTGTTAGCTTGAGCAACAAAGCTCAGCACCAGCTCCCAGGTCCTGGGTTCAAGCTCCAAAACCAGTACCAAAGACAGAGAGAAACAGAGAGAGAAAGAGAGAGAGAGAGAGAGAGAGAGAGAGGTGGATATTATGAACTATTCATTAGACATGGAATTGATATCCAGAATATATGCAGAACTCAAGAATTAAACATCAAGAGGAAACAATCCATTAACAAATGGGCAAATGGACAGATCTCTAAAGGAGAATTATGAATGGCTTTGAGCACCATATTGCCGAGGATGACATAAAGAAATGTTTGGCTTCTTTAACCATAATAGAAAATATTCTTTTTCGTTTAAGAAGTTGTTTTTTTAAATCAAAAGTTGTATATAAGATTATTTCACTCCTGCATCTTCTCAATTGTTTCTTCCTACTTGGCGGGATTTGGCTTTCCGTTCCAGGATCTTTTTGCGGTCTTTGTCCAGTTTCAGCCTGGTGATTACCACCTTGCTGGGGTGAATGCCCACGTGGACAGTGGTGCCATCGGCCTTTTCCCACTGTACCCGCTCAATGTAGATGACATACTTCTTTCTGTAAACCTGGACCACTTTGCCAATCTGCTGACCTTTATAATGTCCTCATACAACCTGCCCCTCATCATCCCTCCCCAATGGGCATAGACCGCACATTGTAGTTTTGTCTCACCTCTTTGGAAAGAGGGGAAGACAGATTCTTCCTGAGAATGTGGGAAGGTGCATTGAAATGCCTTTTCTGGTTCTTGCTTAGGTCAGAAGTGACAAAGGGATTGAACTTCATTTTGGCCGCTCCTGCATCAACGATGGCCAAAAAGGGGAAGAGAAGGAAAGATTTTTTTTTTTAAACAAGGATGTTTCCTCTCACCTCAGCCTGAATGGTTACAATCAAGAAAATGTACAATATTGTCAGTGAAGCTACGGGGGGAAAAATCCTTGGTATAGAGGTATCTTGGTGCAGCCACTATAGAAATCAACTTGTAATTTTATCAAAAACAGAATGATTGTATAGTTATTCTTTATGAGAACTGGGCATAGATCTGAAGGAGTGCAAGTAATTACACAGCACCCATGCCTGCTTCATGCTTAGTGTAGCATGCTAAGCAGTGGAATCCATCAACCTTGGTGAGGGGCAGGGGGAATCCATCAACCAAGGGATGAATACTGAAATGATCACTTATATATACACAATGGAGTATTGTTATGCCAGTTGCAGGAAATAGAAGAAACTGAAAATCACTGTATCAAGTGACCTACTAAGCCAGACTTCTCTCACACATGTTGAAACCAGAACCATGAAATGGAGACTTGGGGGATTATTGCTTGGAACAAACCTGAGCGGAAAGTACATGAGACTTCATTTCCAATGGACATGAAAAATAGCGGGGCTGTAGGCATAGCTCCAGTGGTAGAGGGTCAGCTGTGAGCAAAAACAGCTGAACAATCTTGAGGACTCAATAGGGAAAGGGAGAAAAGAAGAAAAAGAAAAATGTATAGAAGTGAATTTATATACATTTATATTATATACAAATATGGAAATACCGTAATAATATTCCTTTGTACATTTAATAGATGCTAATTAATTGGAACTTTTTTAATTTTAAAAATTGCATCTATCTCTATATTGAGTACAGATCTTTTTTTTTGAGGCTTGTTGAGTTTCCCTGGTGTTCTCTGAGCAGGCCTTAGAGGGTATCTGTAGGCCATGGGTCATGACAGATTTTCCAAGTAGTATCTGTGGTACTTCGGTCATCAGTTGTCTTTGCACTACTACTTGAGGGTGTTCGGGAGATGGTAACTCAGCCATCCAGAGATAGTCACCCAAACACTCTTGCTGTTTCACACTCTGCTTCGATTGCCTGCGCGGCCTGAATTGCAATGGAGTGTGACAACAAACAAAGGCATAGTTGCCTGGCTGCCTATCTGATTACAATGAGGAGCTTCAGGAGGAATGCCCTGACAGAAGGCCGCTGTATGTCATCTCCACAAATTCAAACACAGGGAGTCTGTTGGGAAGGAAACTTGAAGGAAAAGAAGAGAGGAGATCATTTTCTTTCTCAAAAAAAACTTTTACAAAAATTGTAGGCCTAAAATCGAACCGTAATGTAAAATATATTTATCCATAAGGGAAAACTGTTTTCTGAACCGTTGATAACCAGTTGCCTCTCCTCTCTCCCTGACATCTTTTTCTTCTTCATTCACTTTAATTTTTATTAGCATATTTGTCCAAGGGAGTTCTTTTGTGATTTTTTTAACATTCATGCAATCACCTGAACAAATCCCCTCCCTCTGTTTCTTTCCCTTATCTTTTCTCACCGCTTCCTAAAACAATGTTTAACAAAATTCCTTTTTCTACTTTCAAATCGGTTACACGGGTATAAAAATGACTTGGACAATACTCACCTTCCTTTACCACCTCCATTTATTCTCACATTCTACAGTTACCAACCTTCTATCAGAACCTGTTACAAATTCTTGTCATTCACTTTTCTTAGCACTCATTAATTGCAGAAAGGGTTTTAGTATGACATTTCACAGCTACATATATTATATTTTATTTAGAATTGACTGCCCGTTCTTTCTCTCTTTCTCCCTTTATAAGGGCAAGAACATGTTATAAAAGAATCTTATTTCCATCTTTCAAGACTTTGATGCATTCATAAAGTAAGCATTGCATCCCATTGCTAGTGTTAGGCATACTCAAGAGTGTACATAGCAAGTTCCTTGTCAGGAAAACTCTAGTAACCATAACAGTTAGTAGAGTCAGATCTGCTCTGACTAGATGTGCAACAGTCACTTCAACATAAGATTTTCTGGCCTGCATTTCTGTGACAGTCTACTGTTTGTTCTGAAGAAAACTCCATATCTGATGCATTACCAACGGAGCTATTTTATTCTTCTTCTTAAAATCACATATAGCATTATACTAGAATGATGGCTGGCTTAAGAGCTTTATAAAACAATCTCTAGGGTAACTGTTCCTGGGGGAAAAAAGAAAAGACTTCAATGACATTTTCATAAATCTGTTTTTTCACTCTGCAGGCTCCTGTAAATAAAGGGACTCCGTGGAGACAAAACATCACAAGAACTGACAGGGCAAACACTTTAATATACTTGTGGGAAGGCATGATAGGCTGGCATGGTGCTCCCACATTGATGGAGCTAAACTACACCATGCTTCTGTATGCATTAAGGACTCACAGTCTTGGTAGGTATTGTCCACTTCCTTATGAGAGTCCCATCGTGTGGTATGTGTGTTTGTGAGTCACTGTTCCTTGCATGGCGGTGATATCTGTTGCAAACTTTAAGTTTCATTAATTTAATATTCATATAAGCCAAGTTTGAAATCCATATTACAAAACAGGAAGCCAGTTCCTAAGAGAGTGTTTAGTTAGTGGTGCAACTAATGATTATTTTAGATATATAGAAATGTGTGTGGTTAAGATAAAGAAAGAAAAAGAGAGGCATAAACAATGTCACATTCTAGGCTGGGCCTAGCAAAAAGTGAGACATTATCTTAAAAGAAGCAGAGCAAAATAAAAGGGGGTAGGGTTAGGGACATAGATCAAGCAATACAGTGCCTGTTTAGCATGTATTAATTATATGGATAAGTGATGGTAGCTTAATTCTACACTACCAAACGTCTTGAAAATTAGGATGTGTTACTAACATTGCAAGTTGTTAAATTTGATCTGGAAAGACTAGGTCCTTGCTATCTTATCAAGCCTATCAAGCTGTCTGTATTGATTTGGCTTCTTAATTTCCAACATAGTGTCTAGTGAGTATCCCTGCTACGTTAGTTAACTAAGGGGGCAGGGAGAGAAAAATCTGGGAGAAAAATGAGGAAAGGAGTGACAACCATCCAAAAAGAAATGTCCTCAATACCTGACTTGCACATCACCTTGAGAATAAAACTTGAAAAGAAAAGGAAATGAACCATAGGGGCTGGAGCCTCAGGAATCTCAAGATCAGCCATTGGTAAATTGAACATCCAAGCAAAAGAATAGTTTGAGTCATTACATTATGAGTTCAAGTCTGAAGGTAGGAGAAAACCAATGTTCTGTTTCCAAGAATAGTGGAGAGAAAGAATTCTCTATGGCCTTTTAGGAAGTACTTACTATTATACTCTAAATATTTTTATGTGATCTGCTTTTATGTGATTGTCAATGCAGTATCTTTATTTACACCAGAATCATCATAAATGTGCAATGCATTACACTATGGAATCACAATGGCTCAATAAGCAATAAGAAGCTCTTAGCTCCTATGTTAAGAGGTCATGTTGTACATGTGGTCAGTCATTATCTGAAAGGATTGAAGAGTAAGTGTCCCATAGAAAAAGGAATTAATTCATAATTTTCTAGGATAGCTTCTTAGGCTCTTCTCTGTAAATATGCATGTTTTTTTTTAATTAAATATCACAGGATATCACCATCCTTGCACCAACAATTCTTCTTTTTGCTCCTTTTTTTTTTTTTACCACAGAAACCATCCTTCTTTCTTCTAACCTTTGGGCTAAACATAATTAACCTGAGCCAGATATAAGTGTCTCATGTCTACAATTCTAGTTGCTCAAGAAGCAGTGATAAGTTGTATCTCTATTGAAAGTTAGACAGAGACTATGAGACTTCATTTCAACAGGAAAAGCTGAGTCTAATGGAACCATCCTGTGCTCCCAGCTACGTTCAAGAGGTGTAAACAGTATTACAGTCCAGGCTGGACCTAGCAAAAAGTGAGACATTATCTTAAAAGTAGACAGAGAAAAAAAACAGTGGGGGGTAGAGACATGGATCAAGCAATACAGTACCTGCCTAGCAAGCAGGAATCCTTGAGTTCAAGTCCTATTGAAGCCAAAATAAACCCCAGCTTCTAATCTGAAAGGACAATGGTTTGTAGGCAGGGAATATGAAAGTAAAGCTTTGCTTTTCCAGTAACTCAATGTGAAACTGTGAAGAAAATGTCTTCTCTTTGGGACAAAGCTTCCTAAATTATTAAGTGAGGCCACTCACCAGAGGATCCCTGAAGTCCCTTCCAGTCACACTGAGCCATTCATCTCTCTCAAGGTATTTATTTAGCTGATCACATTGACTTTTGCTCACTGTCATAGAAGCTGAACACAGGCCATCAATCAAATAGACACTCACAGTCTCCTTTTCTTTATCTTTTATTGCCATCTTTAAAAGTAGATCAGCTCAAAGGCTTAGAGTGAGAGAAGGAAGGCAAAGGTGGCTGAAGTTCTTCATAAATGTGCATGAAATTAAGAAGGTGCAAGAAGATGAAGGGTAAAGACAGCAAATATTAATTCCATTAGGAATTTTTTTCTGAAAATTTCAGAAAAAACACTTTGTACACTAAGTACATGCTAACAAAAAATGTAAAAAAAAGCTAATTTGGGGGTAAAATTATCCAATATAGGCACAGTAAAACTATCTTATTTGATTCATATACAAATTTTTGCAATAAATCTCTTCTTGGTTAAGGGGAAACACATTTCTTTGTGTTTTCTTGATGATCTCTAGTGTTTAGATGAATTGACTAGGTGAAAATACATCTGAATGACATTCAGATTAAAAAGTATTTCCTAAATTTCCAAGTGGTTGCTAATATTAATGAAATGTAACATGCCACCACACCTGCTCATCTAATCCTTGCAAATATTAAAGTAGATCTTTAGTAAATTTCACCAGCCTATAAGCAAACAAGGCAAACTTTTGTTTCTTAAAACATTTGATTGAAAAAAAAGACATTTGATTGGACATAGCTTGGAAACATCTCATAAAGTTTTGAACATATTCTTTCAACAGACTTAA